TGTCTCAGATGTTCATATGTAAGATGTGAGGCAGAGTGCAAGATTTGACCTAGTCCGTTCTATTGCCTCTGAAAGTTCTTGTTTATTTTGAGATAAGGCATCCAAAAGTTTTCTTGGCATGTATTATTTAATATGTCTGTATTTTATTCTGAATAGTAATTGTCACACCCTTCAGAACGCAATTTTCAGTTTTAAGTTGAAGTTGTTAGCTTGAAAGCTTATTTTATTAAGGTTTTATTTTCAGTAGTACTTAAGAGGATTAAAGAACTATAAAATATTTTCAATTTTCATGCTGAAGCAGATGTAAGAGGCAGAAGAACTTCCTTATTCTCACAGAAAACTTTGAAGGACATTTAAAATAATGTAGCATATTACAAAAAACCCACTTTCTGGCGTAGCCTTTTACGCAGTCATTTTATGTTGTTATTTAACTTTGTATTGTTTCCATTCAGCAAGGTAGTTACTGACTTAAGTTATTTTAAAACATTTGTATTACAGATGTACGACTTTTCATACCAAATTCCGAAATGTGTTTTTTCAGTTTAAAGTTCAGTATTCCTTTGTGAATAGAAGCACATTATGCCCTTTAAAGGCACATTTCATTAATCCAGAAGTCATTCTACTTTTATAATTATGTCAGAACTTTGCCTTTTGTATGAACTATGCAATTGTCTATGTGTTTCAAAGCATATTTTAACTGACAGCTTGTGGTTGACCTTCTCCTTGCATACATACTAAAAATAAACAGGGTAATTCATTATGTTTCAAATTTTTGAGTTTTTTCTTGCATTGTTTTTTTTGTTATGCTTTCCTTCCTCCTCCCCTCTCCAAAGTTTGAGGGCAATAGTAGAAGGGTTTACAGTTTGCTTCTACCTCCTTTGTAGAACTCTTTTGCCCTAAAACCACTGTATCTGTTTCAGTCTTTACTTGGATAAGTCTTTGTACCCTGGGATTATCTTCATAGTAGTGTGGACCTGTTGTTGGTTTATCTGTGTGTGAAAGGGTTTATTCTCAGGATCTGATATTTACCATTTACCTGTTTCAGGTGTTTTTTACATTTGTCTAGCTCTAATCTGGACATGTAGGATGAAGGCCCAATTTTTTTCTGGAGTGCCCAGGGTTCTTTCCTGGAACACATCAGGTTTAGTTTCATCTGAAAAGAGATGAGTTCATGCACACCCAGGCCACTTCACGTTGTGAACCACAGTGAAGTCAGTGGGGGCAATGGAGAAATTCAGTTCAAAATCATACTCCTGATCTGAACTGAAAGAATAACCATGGGATTTTCTTCTGTCAGTGAAGAGTTATACAGTGCTAAAGTGCCTCCATTACAAATAATTTTTGCAAAGCAATGAGAAGAACAAAGCAGTCTAGAGAGAAGGTTGGTGACAGATCTGAGTATCAGGATGTGCCATGCAGATAATGGTAAAATCTGTAGTTTGTGGCTGCATTCACCCTCAGTAAGAATGAGATTACACATCTCCATCTATTCATAAAAATCTAGATTTATGTCACAGGGCTATTTGTTTTTAAGGAGAAGGGCAATGAGCAGGATTTTGCTTCACATAAACATAAATCAAAATTTCAAGTTAGTTCTGTCCATTTTGGTGGGAAGCAAGAGTACAGGGAGAGTCTTTAACTTCAAATTATGGCTACAGGAAAAGACAGTATAACATTTCATTTTAACTGGTATTTACTAAAATACTTATTACTGAAAAATCATGTGATATGAAGTCATAATATTGTATGGTTGCCAAGTGAGCAAGGGGGGTCGTCACAGCAGAAATAAAAGTTTAAAAGCTTTGCACTTGGTTAGTACAAAACAAACAAACAAATTCCGAGAATGTTTAGTTCAGACATTTATCTTGAGTAGGTGACAAAAATGCAGACACGTGGCAGCCTAGATGCAAGACAAATGTCCATTTCAAGTCTGTTCTGGAAATTTGTACATTTTGAAGTGGGTGGCATGCTTTCAAAAAAGAAAAAGGAATAAATGTTTCATTGTTTCAAGCCTTATTAGGCTTTTAATAAACAGAGTAGAGGCTGCGGAAGAATGTTCAGACATTTGAAAGCTCTATATATTTTAAGTGAATTGCATTCCAGAAGGCTCTCAAATATCTATTTTCTTTCTTATATCTTTTTCCTTTATAATCAAACACATAATGTGTCTTGGCTGACATTTTTGATTCCTCCCAGTAATGGGAATGATTTATAGCAGTGCTGTAATCATGGTGTAAACCATTCCCAGTATTGTTACGTGATTGTTGTACAGATACGTGGTTATGCAGGTTTCTTCTCCTAGGTGCATGTATGTTAAAAGTATTTAAACTAGAAACTAAAGTGTATCAAAAGGGGTGTTAAAAAGTAAGGTTAAAAAGTAAGACTGTAGTATTTGGCAGTTTGAACAACGTGGTATGACAGGATTTTGGGATTTCCACATAACTTGCGTTTAAATGATGTTGACTTAAATTCTAGCACTTTTTATGTCAACTGTTTTGTGGTGGAAAAAAATGTAGCTGTGTCAGTGGTATGAGAAAAGTCAGAGGTTTGGGCAGATGTATGTAAGAACAGTTTGGGGATGTTGGTGTACCTGGTATCAGAGCATGTAGTATGGAAAAAAAGAACGACATTGATTAAACTTTTTATTGTGGTGTGTTTTGTTTGTTTGTTTGTTTTTTGTTTGTTTGTTTTTTGTTTGTTTGTTTGTGTTTTTTGTTTGTTTGTGTTTTTGTTTGTTTGTGTGTTTTTGTTTGTTTGTGTTTTTTGTTTGTTTGTGTGTTTTTGTTTGTTTTGTTTTTTTGTTTTTTTGTAATGTTGAGATTAAAAAGTCAAAGGCTAATAAAGTTAATTATCATCTAAAATAATCAATTTACACTTTAAGAGGTCTTCGCTCATTTGAACTTTGTAGGGACTGCAGCTGTGGTCTCTGTAAGTTAAATTGTGAGGGTTAGAAGCTGGTTTTAAAAGGCACATGTTCAAGAGCCCTGATATAAAGCGTGTTTCTGCTGTTTTGCGCAAGACTTAGACATTATGTAGCATCTCTGAGATTAGACCATGGGAGGAAAATGCAGTATATTTCCTTTTAATGTAGCAAATATGTCTACTTGCATTTGGTTCTACTACAGTTGTTTTGAGGATGCTACTAGAGTTTTTCTTCCTTCTCTTAAAGTGCTATAATAAACATAAATGCAATTTAAAGAGAAATCCAGAGACTAGAAAAACTTAACTGTAAGAAGTAGCATTAATTAATTGTACGTGTGAACTATCATGGAAGTATATGCTCCCCTAAGCTGTAAGTAGAGGAGGTAGGCTGTCTCCTAGATGATCTTATTCGATGTTCAACCCTGTGCAGGTTTCATACTTCCTTTTGCTGTTGTAGGATAACATAATTCAGAGGTGATTTCCTTCTTTTTCCATGTGTTCACTTTGTGTGCTGCAGCCTGATCAAATTATTAATGATACTCTGAATACTTAAAGAAAAACATTTAGTAAAATGTTTGCAGGCATATGAGTGGTCTGTAGAAATGTGAAACTTAGTCCTAGTAAACATAACATGGAATATTAAACTTTGTATCTTGAGCTGTTGTCCCTTTCCCCTTATAAAGGTGTCATTTTTTTTTCTGCTGTCCTCCAGAAGAATTATTATTGCTTGTTTATCAAATAAACATGCATCTGTTTTCAGAAAAAACATTTCATATGATGAATTGGAAAGGGATTTAAATAAAAAATAAATTAGCAACTTACTCTATTTTCTAATGTAAGAGTAGGTGCATGGGGTGTTGAGATGAGAATTTTGTATATATTTTAGGAAATACTGAAACCTGATAGTAAAGTTTTGAAGAGTAGGTTTGTTTTGCTGACTGCATAGTTGATGTTTGTGTGAAATAAAGTATTACGTATCTTCAGTAGTTTAGCAAAGAACTGGTATCCTAGAGGTGGAGAAGAGTGGGCGTGCTGTTGTTGTGCCACCTTGAAGAGTTTTGAGAACTGAAACCAGTATTGACCAACTTGAGGTAGCCCTCAGAAGCTACTTGAAATCTTCCTGTCTTCCACAGGTGGTTCCACACTCTAGAAACTCCATGGCACCTTGTGCTTCTTATTCTCCAATTAAAATTGAACAGTTTAGCTTGATGCCCTTTCTCAGTTTCTATCATAGTAACCCTACTTCTAGCTAGATCTAGAACTATAATTATCCTTTTACATCCTTTAAATCCTCTATTTTATTTGATGTAAATAGGACAGAGATGAATATTTTGCTATAACTGACTGGAAATTTTATGTGCTGTTCTTGTATATGATTTCTTCCTACAGTTTTTTTCTCGATTGCATACTTTTAAACTAAACTTCGATTTCTACTCACTAGGAAAACAAGAACAATTTTCAAAGCTTACACTTAGGAATACTTAGCTGTGTGTCTGTTACTTCTTGAAATGATAACTTTTAATTTTCATTCTTAGATTGTACTGAATATTTGTAAAAGTTGGGAAAATGGTCATGTAAATAGCAAAAGTAGGAAGCCTGAAAACCGGGACTCTAGAGAAGAGTTTTTAACTGGTTTCCTTCCTGAAATTTTAATAATTCTGAGTGAATCGGGATATTAATGAGAACATGTCTAGAACACCCAGGAATTTTTATAGATGAAGTAAAGCCTGTCCAGGGATATGAAAGACAGGTTGCAGATTCCTTTTTCTCACAGTGCTTGTCTGGATTATGTGTGTAAATCCCTTTTACTTGTGTTTTATCCCATTTTAAAGGTTGTGATTTTTTTTTTAACGGAATTTTTGTCCTGATTTTAAAAAAGAGGTTTCAACTATTAGCTTGAAGAATTTGCTGTGTTAAAAAAAATCAAAACAGTGATGAGCTTGAAGACACCCCTGTATATAAATAATAATGCAGTTATCTTTTTTCTTTCAGAATTTCCGAAACTTCTGTGGTTTTGAATTCAAACAAAAGACTAGAAATTGGAATAATCTTCACATTTCTTTGAATAAGAAGAAATAATGCAGCGAAGGCAGGGAAGAGTCAATGCTGGACTGCTTTTGCTGCTTTATCAAATTTCTCAAGTTGGACTCCAGAACATTCCTTCTGTTACCCTTGGGGTACTTGCACTGAATATTTTTCTCTTTTTGAATCCTGTGAGGCCCCTATCTGAAGTGTGCATCAGTGTACATGAAGTCGTCTACAGAAAGAACTGGCAGCGTTTACTGCTTTCTCCTGTCCACCATGCAGATGACTGGCATTTATATTACAATATGGTTTCCATGCTTTGGAAGGGAATAATGCTGGAAAAAAAGCTTAAGAGCATATGGTTTGCATACATCATTGCAGTATTTTCAGTGCTGATTGGAGTTGTTTATATGGTGCTGGAATTCATGCTTGTGAAAATTCTGGATGATCCTTTGTATGAAATGCATTGTGCTGTAGGTTTTTCAGGTAAGGCATTTAATTGTTCCAATTTACATATATAAAATTAATATTTATAGATACTATATAACAATATTTGTTGAATGCAGAGAATAGATATGCATGGATATACATGTAGGTGGTTATGTCAGTAAAGTTATCCTATTTTTTTAGTTTAAAGCATGTACTCCAGGTATGAACTTTCTGTGGTTCAGTTCATGTTCCTGTGACCAGCAGTGTCTTTACCTGAGAACATGAAAAATACAATCATTCCAGTAGAACTATGTTTTCTGTTTAATGTCAGTGACTGTTAGAATGCTGAAGCTGTTAATTTTCTGATGTCAGTAATGCTTATTAGGTGGGTTCTAGAAAAGCCTATCACTTCAAAACTTTTATCTTCATATTGCAAATTAGTGATGCCTGTCTTTAGAGAGTCTCCCCAGATTTGCTTCTGCTAGAAACATTCAAGCACCTGATTTTGGTCACCTTTCAGTAATGGTCTTCTCTTTTCATTTAAGAGATCAAAGTTTTCAAGTTAGTCAATTCCTCCTCTTTAAAAAAAATCTCCAGTCAGGTGGAGAAGTAGCACTGCTCTTCCAGATATGTAGGGTTTTTCCTTGTGGTCACTGGGACCTAGCATTAGAAGGCAAGTCCTTCTTTTCAACCTCTGAGAAAGGTGCTTCAGCACCTCTGAAGGTTCCTCATAGTACTCGAATCATTACTAGTTGGAACATTCTGGTCATTGCTCATTTGGAGTGTCACGTATTCTCTGGTCACCCACCCTTTCGTACCAAGACATGCCCAGCTCTAATATTGGCCTTTATGGCTGCTGCAGGGGCCCTGCGAGCAACTACTTCTGAGGGGTTTGGCAGCCTATGGATGAGAATAGCTCTGATGCAGGGTAGGTGTGATCCACCTCTGACTAGTGGGAAAAGAGGTTTGTGAGACAGCTGAGGGAAGCCTCACCGGGGACCTTTTACCTCATTGCTCAGCAGCTGCTTTTAAGCTTAAGCCCTCTGCATTGTCCCTGTCTGAGCTATGTTGCATCTGTGCCTGGCCATGTGCTCCTCTGACCTGGTCCCCGATTTGACTTCCTACCTTCCTTTGGCCCTGCTTTGTCAGGAGGCTGTGCCTGGTGATCTGAGCTCCTGACCAGCCCCACTGACCGTCACCAGCCAGCCCTGTGCACTGAGCCGGGCGCCTGCTGGGGAGGGTGCCACCTGCCTGCCTCTCTGTTCCCCTGGCATACACTTGCTTTGTGGAGCATCTCACTCTTGCTGTTCCCTAACAGTGACTGCAGAACCCCACCGGATATTTTTTATTAGTGGTAAAATGACTGAAATATGTGCACTCATCCAGTCTCAGCTGGACTTTCTAGGGTTACTTTTTATATGGTATTCCAACTATTGATGGGTGATTTGTGGGGAAAGTGTGCTCTGTAATATGCTCTGTGAACAACCGGGAGGTGCTGCCATCGAGCTTCTTTTTGAACCTCTTGTATCACCCTAGACTCTAGGATGAGAAGTTGAAGTTTAGAAATTGTGAAGAAGTATCTGTTTCAGGTATTTGCTTATATAATGTATGATTCATGTGAGGTTTTTCCTCTGTGTTCCTATTAGTTCATACCTTAAAACACCTTAGTATCGACCTAGTTCTTACTAGGAATGAGAAGGGTGAATATTTCAAAAATTTATGATGAAACTTCTTTATAACTGGAAATATAATACTACTATATAATTGGGTAGTGTTGGGATTTCACTGTAAGTTTTTTTCACCAGATTAGTCTCTAGCTTCTCAGCCAGTTAGTAATTTATATGTCCCTTCCCTTGAACCAACAGAAGGGAAGTTAGATTTAGTGATACAGTTATCCAGGTGATGCAGGTTTATGGCTTTCCATGATTTAAGGCAAAAGGGACCAAGTTACTGAAGAGCAGTGGTGATGGGCCAGATGGGGCCTCTATTTCATTCCTCACAAGAGACTCATGTCAGCCATACTACAATATCAGCTGGACCATATATTTGGTGAACTAAAAGGAGTGGGATAAACCTCTAATCTACTAAACCATTTGTGCAGAGGACAAAAAGCTTGACTTTTGTCCATTTAGGGATTACCTAATTGGATTTTAATTTGCATGTTCTGCATGGTAAAATAGTTCAGATCTCACATTGAGTATTGCAGCCTGTTCTGGTGTCACTTACCTTTGCAGCATCTTTTGACTATTCAAAGCTTGGAAATGTGGGTCTGCAGCCTTTTGCACCTGCATTTGACTGTTATTCAGGCAGCAGGTGAAAGTAGCTTGGACAGGTTTAGTTTTCATAGTTGATTTTTCTAAACCTTCAACATGACCTTCAGCATAGGTAATTTGTCTTCAGTTGGGGCAAGTGGCATGTCTATGGAACAGCTGTTGAAGAAAATATGAGTGTTTTCCTGATAATTATTTCTTTAACCTGTATGCATATTTGACCCATTCACTTTAACAGGTTTTAAGATTTTAGGATGCCTGGATTTTTTTTTTTTTTTAAATTTTATTTTAAATGGATGAAACAGACCTGCACCTTGTACCACTGGATGGAACCTGACAATACAGACCAGACAAAAAAAAAAAAAGCTCTGCAGACATGGTTCTGGTGAGCCAAAAGAGGATTGGATGGAGATGGCTCCTAAACTACACTGCTGCTATCAGATATTTTTCCTCTTTAGTAAATTCAGAGTTTCTGAACAAGTCCAGTTTTTATCAGTGGCAAATAGCATGAGCGTGTATGTATGTGCATACACACACCTCTTTGGATTTGGTCATAGAATAACAATATTTACATCACTGGATAGATTAAGGAATTTTGCTATCTCTTGTTTTCTGTGGTGTTAGAAGGGGAGGGGAACCTTTTTCGTGATTTTTATCTAGTACATTTGTATTGATGTTAAACTCTTCTGTCTTTTCCATGTCAAATCTAGTACTTTGTGATTTTTCAGGGTTTTTTTTCAGACATGTTTTTGAAGAAGTTTCTCTCGAGAGAAAGCTCACACACATTTTGAAAGTTCCAATAAATTATGTGAATTAATTCTGTCATGTTAGCTATTGCTCGCATGATAAAACAGTTGCAGTCAATTAGAAATGAATGATTATTGTGATTAAAGTTGATTTATCGACTCTTTTTTTCAGAAACAAGTGATTCTGGAGTATATGTAAGATGATTTTCATTCAGAATTTGAGCTTACTGTTGAACTTCACACATCTGTCTTGTTTTCAGTAATGGCTTTTCTCAACTCATGGAATATTTTTGAGTTCAATAGTTTTGTCAATTATTTCAACTAGAACTACCATTTAAAAATTGTTTTTATTGTTTTGAATACCTGAATAGCTACAGTGAGTAGGCATATTAAAAAGCAACTTAGAGTTGGCTGTTACACAAACATAATTTTTTAAATCCTTTTTAAGTCACTGAAAAGTAGCCCTGAAAAAACAGCTTGGAGCTGTTGTTCTGGCATGCAACAATGTGCTTCATAGTACTGTGAAACTGTATGGTACTTTAATTTTAGTAGTTGTTTGCATTTCTTTATTATTTGGGCACAATTACTTCTGTCTTTACGTGATTTCTTCTGTTTTGCAGGAGTCTTGTTTGCTTTGAAAGTTCTTAACAACCATTACAATCCAGGAAGAGTCAGCAGCATCCTTGGATTGCAGATATCCAGTAAATATGCTTGTTGGGTGGAGCTGGTGGCTATTCATTTAATCTCCCCAGGGTAAGTGTGTTTAATATTTCAAAATTATAGGAAGAAATTTGGGTTATCTGAAGTAGTATGACATGTATTATGAAGTATGTGTAGTGTTAGCTTGTATCCACATGGAGTGTTGAGTCTACGATTAAGTGTTAAGGCTACAGTCTGCTTTTTTCCTTCACACCCTTTATTTTGAGCACATTTCAAAATAAAAACATGAAATACTGTGCCCAGAAGGTATTCAGTATTTGAGGGAAGATAACAAAAGTTTATTGACAAGGAAAAGGGACATGCATTTTCAGCAAAATAACCAAACGAATATACTGTAATGGCAAGGACTTCATTAGCAAAACTGCATTCCATTGTTTGCTTAATATTTCTGTCTTAGTGCCTTCTGTCCATCTGTTGTAGTCACTCCTCTAATTTATGATAAAGTTATCATTTAGTATTCTGCAAATTTTATGCAATTCCACTGTTTCACTGTTCTGCAGTCTTGCTGAACGTCCTCCTCCATTTCCTGTGTGCTCAGTTCTGCTGGCACTGTTCATCCGGCCCTACCTCTGTGAGAATAGTGCCTTTCTCTTTGGCAGTTGATTTCTGGAGTTCTAGTTGCAAATCTGTAATTTTCTTTTGTAATATTTTATAACTGTCAGTCATATGGGAGAATATATGTGAAGTATAGACACCAAACTTACAAACTACCAAATCACAGTTTATATAAAATTTCCCACTTTCAGGAAGATAAAAAAAAAAAAAGAGAGTAAACCCTTTTTTGTGACATACTCCTAATCAGATACTATGATACAGCAGATAGAACATTTCCTAGACCAGAATGAGAATTCACATATTACTTAAGTTAAACACAGATTTTACTGACTTACTGCCTGATTGACTACAGTTAGGAATCCTAGGTTAAAAGAGAGAAAACTTCAGAGTGTGCTGTTCCAAATGCAATTTTAAGTGTAAGCTGAGAGGTCACTTTCATGGCATTACTACAAGTGTAAAACCAAAGTTTTCAGTGCATTAGAAACATTCTTCTGGAAAATATAAATCGTCATGTTAGCTGCACATAGTTTTTGTTTGGTGATATGTTTAATACTACTGTTTGTTTTATTATTAAAGAATAATGAAAGAAAATTATGTATGAAGTAATACCATGAGCATATTGTACTGTATCTGGTAGAGGAAAAACTTGAGTTTAGTGGTTGATTTTTCAGTTGCTTCACTGCAGAAATGTCTTTGGAGTAGAAAGTGTATAGATGGTCCAGAAAGAACATACCTTTTCATAATTTTGTGGAAGCTTAGATTGTTCCCTGGTCTAAAGAACTTCTACATTGTTAGATTCAAGATTGATAGTTAGGACAATTTCACAGCACTTAAGTGGTAATGGGGGCCATAGAAAACAAGTAGTAATCTCCAGAAATTCATGTCCCAGAACACAACATGTTTAATTAGTAACTGCCAACTGCCTTGAAATGAACCATGAAAATTATAGCTCTCAGAGCATTGCTCTTACATGCTCATCTGCGTGCTCAGGGCATGTTGTAATATTTGAGGTATCTGATTAAATAGTGTCCCTTTGAGGATCAAGTTGCATAATTTAGTTTTGAATAGGGAAGAGGTCAGTAGTTGGGGCAGAATTCTGTCCAGTCAGAAAGACATGCAACAAATTTGGACCTGCCTTAGTGATGTATCAGGATCACCTGAGCATCCATAACCAATGAAGGAGTCAGAAGTAATATTGAGGCTACTGGAAACTGTGATTTTTGAGCTAGGAGAGGATTTAGGGTTTTACTGGCATCTGTTAATTCTTTCCTTTCTCGTTAATGTTTTTGTTATGGGGAAATATAAAAAGACATGTAATATCTTTCAAATGATATTTGAAGTATATCAAATATCAAATATCAAATGATATTTGAAGATATTTGAAGATATGTAAAGTAAGGATGTTGAGATGTAGGCTTTGTATAGCAATCCTTGGGATTATTCCTTTGATGGAAGACCAGGCCTGTGAAAAGTTATTTTATGTTTAATCTCTGCATTTTCCAGAATTGGGCATGTGGTATATTAAGTCATCTAGCCCTTTAGCATGAAGGTACTTTACGTATACTCACTGTTAAAGGAAAAGCTTGTCTTTCAGGTTGTTTCTGAAATAAATATTTATCAGATTGTCAAAGATGACACTTTGGAGTTGGAAGGTGGATGTTACAGTTTTTTTTCAAACTTGTTATTCAGAAAGTTAAAAGTAACGAAGAATGAAAATAGTGGGAGAGTGGAAAGCGAGGAGTGGAGAAGAGTAGAGGATGTTATTTTTTTCAGCATTCAGCATTTCAGTGCTGAAGTTTGGTATTGTGACTGTCCAGAATTGCTCTTTTTGTAGTTTTTCAGAAATAGTGAGACTTGCTATTCTGGAGTTCAGAGGATCTCAAAGATGTGTAACATTTCTGTAGCTCACTGCATCTCTGAAAACTGGCTTAGGCATTTCTCTAGGCCTCCTTTTGACCTGTGTTTCTGCAGGTTTTATAGTTACTGGCTTTCAGGTGTCTGAAAACATTTTCTAGATCAGTGGATGATGCAATCCATAAAATGTATAATTCTTCTTACTCTTTTTCTAAATTTGTTCTAGCTGTGAGTTTGTTTCCAAGTTCTTTTTCATAGCTTTTTCTAAATAAACTATATTGTTAAGTGTTCATCTGAACCAGTTATGTTGACTTTTTAAATTTTTTTGGCAACTTAAGATGCTTATTAGAGTTTTTCATCGTAAAAAGAGAAGACTTTACGAACCGAGAACTATCCCGCACAAGAACAAGAGCACAGCAATAGATCTACATTTGGCAATAGAGATGCAGATCACGGTCATAAGTATTCATAGCTGACAACTGAAAATGTAGTACAGTCGTAATATATAACGAATCAACAATGCCGGTTAGTTGTTGATTCATTTCACCTGGGTTCAAGGATCCGTGGGAAGTCAAAATCTCAAAGCAGATCATGGTCACAACAGGTAAACATAATAGGAATACTGAGCTTTTAATTTAATAAACAAAAAACAACACGAAACACCAAAAAAGCTTTACCAAAACCAAACCCCACAATAATTAATTCATATATATATTTGAAAATATAAGAACATATTTTGATAAATATGGTTTTAAACTTTGATTATTTTGACTTCTACCCTTTTCAGTCTTAACTGTGGTACGGAGTCTGGTGTGAAAACAAACATTTTGCATAGCTCTAGTAAACTTAACCTCATGAGATTCTTTGTATGTATCTATTTTCCGATTTCATCTGCTTTCTTAAATTTATCACTTGTTACTGCTTAAGAATACCACTGGTTATCAGTGAGATTTACTGTCTGTTTACACTTGCTTTTTATTGATGAGAACTGTTTTGTCAGGAACAAACTAATCAACCAAAAACTCTCCACGTTTGTCAAGAATGGCAATATGTGATGAGAACCATTTTATAGCCTTCTGGTTTTTGGTAAAATTTAACTTTTTGATGCCATTTTCCCAGTGTGTTATAAAATTACTAACAAGTTTCTTATTTCTATTTAAAGAAGGAATGGCATTTTCCTGTATAGGGCTGTGTAAAACAAGTCGACTTTTACTTATGCAATCATTTAATTTGGTTTAATTTTCATTCAGGTATATAAGATATTTTCACAAAAGAATGCAGCAATGGATTAAGCTAAAGACATCCTTCTGTTGCTAAATAAGTGGCTTTGTTCTCTGCTGGAATTGCATGGGTAAATAATAATGCCTGCCAGACTGGGGTTTGCTGTTAGAAGTTATGGAAGTTAAGTGATAGGTGTAGACTTTCTTGTTCTGTTTTCATTGGTTGAGTCACTGACACCACAGAATTAAACAATTCAGCATAAATTCACCAACAGTAAGGAATTTATTTGAATTCATTGTAAGGATAGTGTAACAACATTAATGTACAAATTGATACTGAGAGGCTTTTAAACATTGGGTCAGAATCTCATACATGAAAAGCAAATGCAGTCCAACTGCTTTTCCCTCTAGTGGTACCAGTTTTCATAGAAATTACACAACCAAATGAGAGTATAATTAATTCTGTTTAGAAGATTTTTCTGAAGTAATGTGCACATTGCCTTGATGGGAAACGTCTTTAGGAAACAGTATTTGGATGTATTGCATAATTATCATTAGTATGAAGTGAATGGTTGAGATAAATAAGATCTCTGGGGAGATCTAAATTTTCAAACAAAAAGTTAAACAAGACATCATTTGAGTTTCTTGGTACCAAGGAGAACATTGGCTAATATTGATAAAGCTCATTGACATTTAGAGAAAAAACATGCAATTTAAAAAGTCAAGAACCCTGTTTTTATTCCCTTTTAAGGTTCAGCTTTTATTATAGAAAGTGAAAATTGCACTGTGGGGGAAAAAAAAAAAAAGTACCTATCAATTTTTCTTTATTAACCAGCAGGAAAAAAGGCAGTAGTTTATTATGTTTCAATCACAAGAATGCTTCCTCATTAGTCTAACTGAAAAAACCAGCAGTTTTTTAGCTAGTAAATTATACATTCCAGTCAAGTCATTGCTGTTCTTATGAATAGTGTAAAAATCCTATCGTGGAATTAGTTGATAATGGAGGTTGCTGATATCACTGATATCGTAAGAGTTTAAAAAAAATTATCCAGAATTATATTTTATTATAAAAAGCAGAAAATAGGAGTAACCTCAGTCTTATGGACTAGAGAAGAAAGAAGAGTGAAATTTATAATACAGGTGAAAGGAACCTTGGTAATATGTACTTAAACATTCTTCACACACTTTGTGCTTTTTTGTAAACTGTTCATTAATTTTGGCCAAATTCCATAGCATTTGGTTCTAAATTTAGCATATAATCCTACCTTGTGAAAACAGTTGTAGTTTTCCCATTAATACCTACAGATAAAACTGAGACAGCCTCATAAGCAAGAAATCCATTATACAAATTTTCTAAAAAGGCACCCTACTGAAAATTAAAGTTCACTGTAAAATGTAGTAAAGTCTCAGGAAGAGTGACAGTTAAAGTATTATTCAGGATTAGTTGTTCAAATATATTTAAGTTAATTTCATTCAAAATATGAGTATCCTCTTTAGACAAAGGCATGTGAATAGAAGAACATTAATTGCGTGTGTAAAACAGTTATTTCATGTAATTTACTTAAATTGAATAATTCTAGTCTACTAGAATCTGTGAGAGAATTCTTCAATGACTTAAGTGGTTGTGATCCTTTCAGTCTTTTCTCAGAAGTTGTTTTGTAGGCTCTCCATTTTTTTGTTGCTCTTTGTGCAGTATGCAAAAAGTAGGCTCAGTTCTTCAACTGAGAGCATTGCTGAGTAGAGGGGAAGGCTACTTCATTTTACTTCCAGATAGTGCTCCTGTTTGCATATTTCCAGTAAAATACTTGATTTTCTATAGTGGTCTGACATGTTGATTTGCTTTATTGTATAATTAATTCACTGTGTGCCCCAGGTCCCATCCTGAGGCTCTCCTGCTATCCAGTCACTTCTAGCCTGTTTGTATAGTTGATAATTTCTGTGGTGTGTTCAGAATTCCATATTTGTCTTTACTGAATTGCACCCTATTTTTTCCAAACACTACTTCATTTTGTCAAGGTTGCTTTAAATTGTAATGCCATCTCCAGTGACCCTTACACCTTCTCTTAGTTTGTAATTTGTAAATAGTATTTGGAATAGACTCCTGCAAAATTATTCACTTGATTCATATCCCAAGTTTGATAATGAATCGCTGATAAGTATTGTCAGGTTTACCAGCCACTTGAGGATCTGCATAGTGTAGTTTTGGAGTTTAAGATTTTTAAGCCTTCTTTATGACAAATGCTGTGAGATAGTGCTTTCAGCATGTGACATCTGCTAATCCTCCTTTTCCATGAGGCTTGTTGGCCTATCAAAGAAGGAATTTTGGTTGATTTGACATGATTTGTCAAATCTGTTTTCTGCTTCTGGTGTCCTCACCTTGCTTGTATCCACAAATTATGTGTCCTAGTAATTGTTGAGCAAATAGTTTTATCTGAGAACAGAAGATACTGATTAGTCTGTAGTTCTCTGACTAACGTCCTCCTTTTCTATTCCCGCCCCCCCCCTTCCTTTTCCCTGTTTAAGAATGGGTATAGAAATTGCCTTAGAGTCTTCTGGAACCTTACCCATCCTCAAAACAGCTGGGAAGAGACATAAGTTAACTACTTCAGAATTTTGCTGCATAGTTATATTGTTTTAATTTACTTTGACAGTGTTAAAAGTTTTTAATAAAACTGCTGGTTTGGGGGGGGGGTTCTTGGTAAAGTTACATTTTATCTGTATATGTTAGTTGCTGCATTTGGAAAAATATCTGTTTTCCATACTATAAATGATGCCAAGCATTAGCAAAAAAAAAAAAAAGTATTAAGTTATTATTTGAGTAAATTAACAATACAGCATATTCTAAAATGAAATGGTATTTGCTGAACTTGGCTGTAACATTAAGCATTTCATTAATGTAAGGGAAGCTGTCTTTTTATACTCTCTAGAATTGCTTTTCCGTAGTAATTACAAGTAGCAAGGTCACACTCAATTTTATGACAGCATATGATGAAAATTTGATGTGATTTGTCAAATGTACTAATTTTCTGCATGTCAGTGATAGTATATATGTGTGCCAGTGTATCTGTTATCGTTCTTAATTTAGAAAACCCTGTTTAAATGTTTTCATTCTAAATTTCTACTCCTTTAATATAATTCATAATTAAACAGTCAATAGTGTGTAGGCATCTAGCATGCTAACCTATTCGATAGACATGAAGTGGAAATTATCCCTCTAAAGACTTTAAGTTGAAGGGGTTTGATTATTCATACTGTATAAATATACAGCTTCACTGTATTTCAAGCAAAAACCTTGATTTTTCAGTTTTGTGGAACAATGCTCAGATAAATCAAAATGAGCATAAAACTTGTTTAAAACACTGCCAGGAAAATAGGTGAATCATGTTGGTGATTTCTAGAGTAGTTTGTTTTCTGTGTACAGACATTTTCCAAGTCAGTCATGTTTTTTTCACAAATTTGGAAAAATCTGTTCTAGAAAAATGTGTTTGGAAAATTAGTTTCTTGTAGATACTTTATTTTGGTAACTACCTCTTACCTATACATTTTCACATCAGCATTTATGTGTTACTCTTAAGAAAATTGTTGGTTACTTATGGAGAGAACCGCAGCTCTACATAGCAGAATACAAGTTTGTGGTTAAGTAGTGTCAAAAGAGTGAATTTAGATTTGATCTTTATCTCCCTCTAGTGACACATGCATTTTCTTACATATTTTTACCAGTGATGCCTGGAAGTTGTATTGTCATGAGTGCATATGCTATCATATGTGTAACTCTTTCAGATTTCTGACTGGAATGTAAAAAGCTTAATGTTTAAATCTCTTTTTACATTAAACAGAGGTTTCATTTCTGCTTTATGAATGCAGAAAAGCTCGTATTACTTGAATCATTGGACAACCAGTGTAAATACAGTGAACTGAGTTATTTGTAATTATATACAGTAGGAAATCTTAATGTTTAATGTATCAGTTTTTCTAACTTCATGAGATGAAAAATTTACAAATAGTGTTTAAACAGGATTAAACTCAGAAGATTTTACTGTTAATTAGTGTTTAAGCCTGATTGAACACAAAAGAGTTAACTTTTAATTTGAATGCTGAAAATTGGTTTATGAATTTATAGAATGCCCCATAGGCATGGCAATACTTCGAGCCAATCTCCTTATTTCCTTATGCTTCCATGTTGGTTTCGCAGAAGACTCTAGAGCCTTTTCAGTCTATGTGAGTGGGCAATGATCTTTTTTTAAAGAAATTGTTATACATATAGAAAATAATGCGGATCTCAGAATTTCACCTGTTCTTTTAATTTTAAGGCACTGTGTTACAAAGATTGCAACGGATCTGCGTTCATGCTTATCTTGGATACAATCCTACTAATAGTGTAGCAGGAAATATTGTATTTATGCTTTCACTTGAAACTGTAAATGGTTTTGGTAGATCCTAGACATTTCAGCATAATTATGTGGATTTACTTTTTTGTAGATTAAAACTAGTTTCCTACCTCAGTATTTAAATGCTTTTAGGGAAACAGTATTCTGTCCTTTAAACAAGCAATTAAAATGATCTCTCCAATTAGTTTCCATCTTCTTCAGGATATTTTTAAGGCACTTATCTTTAACTGTAAATACCTACCCATTTTAAGGTAGTTATGAAGAAAGAAAACTTGGTAGTATGTCCTTGCAGGCAAGTCACTTCTCTGTGCATGATCTCACTTGGGGACTTTCTCAGTTTCAACAAATTGTGCACTCCCCCTTCTGGATCCCTCCAAAAAGTCTGTCTTTCCATCACTCACAAGATTTTCCTTTTTTGTAGGACTTCTTTTGCTGGACATCTGGCAGGGATTCTTGTTGGATTGATGTACACTATGGGACCCCTGAAGAAGATCATGAAAGCCTGTATAGGTATATAATTTTGTTCAATTTATAAAACCTCCTTCAGAGAAACTTCTATTTTGGAAATTCAGTAAGTCTTGCATATAGAAATCCAGGCCATTCCAGCAAGTTTTTAGGCAATTAAATATATGCTAATTATTAAAGTGAATACAGAAGAAAAAAGTATTTTTTTCTTAAATATGCATGTTTTACCTAGGGAAATACCTTTTACCCTTCTTTTCAAATGCTTATTTGGAGTAAAGTGCTTCACATAAGATGTCAGTGAAAATGTCACTTTAAATGAAGTGTGGTGAAGCCATAAAAACATGCCAGAACACGGTGTGTTTCCATGTTGATTTCTACTACTTGAGTCCATACTAGTATAAGTCCCTACAGTTTGAAAAAGGCTGTGGGACACTTGAGAAATTATTACTGGAATTCTCAAGCTTTCCAACAATGTGTTACTACAGCTTTTCATATTCTAGTAATATTTAATTTATAAAAAGATTGTTTCTGTAGACATCTTTAGTCTAACAATTGTTTTAAATACAGTCCTGCAAACCTAGATATGAACACTCCTATGAGTTTCAGTGTCTTAATTGTAAGTCTAAGCCCTTCACAACAGCTGTGCTGGTGTTGACTGTCAGAGTATTTGGGGTTTATGTCAAATTACTTAATAGGTTGAGTACTTCATTCATGACTGTGCCATCAACTTGACCATGGATATGGTGTTTGTATAGTGGGAAATTAGTTGTTCAAAGGGTATGTTTTTCACAGGAGGTTTCATCACAATTTGGTGATACAGCCTGTAAGTTGTGTACGTTTAGCAGTTCAAAGTGGAAAATTAGAGACCGAAGCATCAGATTTCCTACCCCACTTGAGTGAACAGACAGAAAGTGTGACGTGAGTTAACTGTTAATATTGCATGTTTCTGTGGCCTGGGGGTGTTACCTGATAGTCAAGCATTGGATGATGCTGTCTAGGGAGGTTAAGCAGTCTCCATCCTTGGGTGTTTTCAAGGCTTGACAAGATACAGTCCTGGCTGAGTAATTTGGTCTGATGTCATATGTAACCCAACTCTAAGGGACCTTCTGAGGTCTCTTCCAAACTGAATTGTTGTAGGGTTCTGCAGTAAACCCCATGGTACTGTTAGCAAAATACTCTATGGCCATCCTGCTGCTGTGAAGGTTGCTGTGTGACTAAGACCTGGAGGAAGAAGTGTTCTAGTATGTCATCTACACGTCATCTTTTTCTCCTGTGTAGAAGAGCAGAAACAGTGCAGTGTTATTCCAGTCCTCAGTTTTCTCTGCATTAACCCATTTTTATAGTCTCAGCACAGAAATAATTAATTATATGTTCTGGAGAACATTTGTTAGGTTGGTTTGCGTTTTTCTATTCTACATGGATATGTTGCTTAAATGTGGCATATTACTATAAAATCTGGAACAACATACAAGCTTACCAATACTATGTTCTCTCCTGATGCTAGAAAAATTTGTAGATACCTATGGTTTCACATTTGTATCTCATGATACAGACTCTGAAAGAGAGTACTTTAAATTTTATTTTCGTATTTTATAAAGACAATGTCATTATTTTATTCTAATAGTACATATGCTGTTCTTACATTTAGGTGGCCTTTCTTCATTCACAAACCCTGCCAGGCCACAGGACTACTATTCAGGTAAGTACTCTTGTCCACTTCCCTAAAAATTTATTCCAGTTTTACAGATAATTTTTGCTAATGCTAGGAAAACTATAGAGGAACTAGTTAAATGGAAACATATACAAAATATTCTGCACATACGTGTACTTGCTAAACTTACATTACTTCTCTGGCCACATCTCACCTTTCATTTTTAGGGAACTGTTTGGATGTATTTTGTACATGAGGATTTAAACATCAGATTAAGGTCATGACTTCATAAAATGCTACCTTGGAGAAATATCATCCGTTTTGCAGAAGGGATGCAGGGGGGGAGTTGTGTATACTGAAAGCAGCCCTTTGAACTTAGGTAAATCTGCCCTGATCTGGCAAATTTATGTGTTCCACTCTAGGCTGGTATTTTCCCCATCTGACAAGGAACTTCTTCCTTTGAACACTTTTTATAAATCAAGTACTCTACATGCAAAAAACCCACTCCTCACCAGAAGAAATTTAGGCTATCTTCACAGTATATAGATGGATAGTTGGAATGCTGGCACACTTTGTATGTAGCACGTTTGATTCACTTCTTGTGCAGAACATTGAGTCGTTATATGTGGAGTGTATAGAAATAATAGGTGGAGGCATTGTCTGGGAGGGACAGAAGAGGAGCCAGCTGTGAGAAAGGCTGTGTGTTGGATCAGCTAAGGGATGTATAGCCTAGTGTATCTTATCTTCTGCAATGATTTATTGTCCTTCCCAGGCATCTGCTGTAAGAACAGGTTAAATATGTAGTGATAACTCCCTGAAGTATCTGCCAGTGTGCAGTGGCTTGTGACTTAAAGATATTGTCAGCAGAAAGTTTTATGGGGGAATTTTGTCTTTAATAGCCTGTGTTAGATTCTTCTTCCATGAATTTGTCAAAAGCTCTTTGAATCGGCGTGAACACTTTTAACACCTACAACATCACAGAAGAAGAATTTCACAGTTTACTTCCTGGTATAGAATCAGTCATTTTTGTTTGTTTTGCACCTCCTAGCTGCTAATTTCATTTGATGCACATTAATTCTTCTCTGGGAAGTGAAACTAAACCTTTATGTATTTTCCTCATATTCTTTATGGTTTTATAAACTTCAGTCCTATACTCACCATAGTCATCTTTTCTCTCTGGTTGAAAAATTGTAGTCTATATGGTTGCCTATATGAAAGCAGTTTCATATGTTTGATCATTTTAACTGTTGTCTGATGTTTAGTCATGCAGGGATTTTTATTTTTTATATTCTTTTATAAGTGAGATGTGCTTACTCTGAGCCACAGAGAGCCAAGGTTAGTGCTGCTTTTATTTTCCATGATGGATTTTGTCCTCCCTGATCTACCTCAAATTTTATTATTATATAATTCCCCTAAGCGAGATTATGGGCTGTTGAATATTTTTGAAGCATTTGTTTTGTAATTCCTAACCAAAAGATCTTAACCTATCATACTTTCCTTACCAACAGTAACTTAAAGGTATATTTACCCAGGATTTCCATTATTCCAGTTCTCAAGTCAAGAAACGCTTGATTTAAAGGCCAGTAAAGAAATAAAACAGAATTAATATTGTGAAATGAAATAAGACATGAACATAGGCTGTGTAGTGAGCATGAGCTACCTATTTCCATGACTGGCAGTCTCAGCCCAGGTGAAGATGCTCCCCTAGCTACAGCTGGGGTTCAGCCCATCAGGGCCCTATGTGCTGCTTGCCTTGCTCTGTCTTCCACATTCATAGACACTAAATATTCCTTCAGTATTCCAGTATAGCAGGGTGGATGGAAATGCTAAACATTTATATTGAAAAAGGTACTTTAATGGCTAATGACGATAAGAATTTGTACTTGACATTTAAGCTCAATCATCTCATGCTGCCACTGTACAAACAGCAGCTGCTTGTAGCTTGGGTGGGTGTAAAAGACCGCTCTTGTGGAACAGGAGCAGATTGTGAACAGCCCTTTATATTTTTATTTTCCAGCTTCTCCTAAGTGGGGAAAGGGGAAGAGTTTTCATGTAATATATCTAGCATGATGGGTGTCTACATAGCACCTGAGGAAAAAAAAGTTTAGTATGCTGACAACAAGGAAGTCGGGGTTTTTTTTGGATGTCTTGGGTGGTCCCTGAGTAGTCAAGCTGTTGCTTTGAGTTGTGGACAAAAGGGAGTTAAAGGAGAGGGTTAACCTGAATTATCCCGTCTTCCAAACTTGGCTTTTGGTGTAACTAAATATTTTTTACTAAATTCATTTCTCTAAAATTACTTACATTTTTTTAAACTGCAGTTGTATATTTGTTATATTCATTCCCTGTGTATGTACTTTGTAATTGTCTTTTATCCTATTTGCAGAACTCTTTATGAAAGATTTAACCTTTTGTTTGGCGTATGTTATATGTAATAAATTTAGCCATCTTTGAATGAAGAAAACTCTAGTGTCATAGGCTAGTGATGCATGATTAATTTTTCATTTTCTGGCATTGCTGATTTATTACTATTTGCCTTTAAATATCAATTTAAATAGAAAAATAGATGAAGTTATGATCAGAACAGTTTTTATGAAACAGTCCAAGGACACAGCTTTAGAGGAAAAAAATTAAGTGTAATTTTAACACATTTTGTATTTGGTAACTGAATTAGATTTTCTCTAAATGCAGTTAATAAATAAAGTATTACGATATTTATTTTGATTAATAGGAACACCTTGAACATGTCAATGTTACCAAACTCTTTCTTATTGTAAAAAAATGGATTAAGGCTTTCTGAGCACTTACAACTTGATGACAGTGTAAATCATGAAACATTAAAAAATTTATGGTAATAGAGCAAACTTAAAATACAACATCCTTTTTCCTTCATCAGATAATTTCATGCTTTTAATACAGTATTTTTATATAGTCTTCATGCTTGCAGTTTTGAAGCATCCAGAAAATAAATTTATAGCCGAGATATTTATTAAGATTAACATAATGCAGAGGGGAATGAGGGGAATACATGAAGATTACATCCAAAGTGTATATAGCTAAATGGTATCCTGCAGTCAGTTATATTCTTCTGCAGAATTATGTATATTAAATGTAGCCACTATGACTTAAAAGCTTTTAAAGTTTGTTAAAAATGTGACTATGGTTCATGAAGATTAAAAACCAAAACTAATCTTTTCTAACTAGAGAAGCTGCCGATCATTTGAGAAATGGCAGAATTTCAGGTTACTGAAAGGTAATACAAAGTGTTCACTGCAGATGTATGAAGATTCTCCTGATGTCAATTTTATGTTTCAAAAAGAAAAAAATTGCAAATGGACAGAATTACATTTTTTCCTCTGTGTGTGTATGATGTATATATGTGTACATACACCTGTGTGCACATACATGTGTATATAAGATATATGTAGGTGTATTTTCATAATGCACACAGAGGAATATACTCCTGTATGGAATAGTGTGCCGTCACTCTGTTCAGTTTGTCATGCTTTTCCTGCATAATTTTAAGATAGGGTATTGCTATTTTTATTTGTCTTAAGGTTCTAGAACTTGGGATTTTTTTCTTTAACACAATCATTTTTTGAAAGAAATCATTTATATGTCCTCATTTCATAGTCCATGCTTGTTACTAATCATGCAAACTCCACTACACATTTCATCTATATAATTAATGAGATAACACGACTATAATTGATACTGATAATCTGAAGATAAAGGAAATGGTATGCTGTATTTGTTTAATGCAAAAATATTTTTAATTATTTAGTTTTGAAAAATGTGTACATTTTCTGCCAGTTGGAAGAAACTGTCAATATTTCAGTACTTTGGTTCTTCAAAATCCCCTGTCCAGCTGTCTGGAAGAGAAATTAAAATATCACCTAAAGTTTTGTATTTTGAAGATGCAAAAATTGGGTAGAAAAATGGGACTTTCCTCCTTAGTTTTTCTCAATTTAGATTTTCTGTGCTCAGGCAAAATCAGATTGTGTTAAAAGGAAGAGAGTCTTGCTCAATTCTCACCAAGTAATTTTTTTCTTTTAAATCCAATGTGTTTGGGTGGATGATGGTTTATACTTGGTTTTGACCTTTGCAAATGGTCAGAAATTCTTGGTTGTCAGTAATGCAGGCAACATACAGTGACTGTGACATTCAATGAGATCTGTGGTGTGGTGTTTTTTTTCCAGGGCAGGTGTAGCTGTGCAATAGCACAATATTAGCTGTATATGTTACTGCAAAAATTTGCAGGAATATTTTCCCCTGTGTTTTCTAGGTCCAAATGTTACTTGAATTTATGATGACACTGGCATGTAGTTTATGGACACTGGGGGAAAGGGAGAGACAGGTGGGAAAAAGCCTGAAACCTACCTGTTGTTGCTCTTCTAATGACATTAATAAGGTGTCCAAGCACTGACAAGTAAATGTTAAAAGGACCTAATGAAAAATCTCTTTCAATTTCTATGTGAAATTTCTTAATAATGCAATTCTATGATGCTTACTTATAACTATTACAAAGAATTGAGATATTTGAGCCATCTTTTTTCCTCTTGTGTTTCTCTCTCCTGTTACCAAGGTCTGGCTTTGTAAATCAGAAGTTGATTCGTGGCATATATTGTATAAGTAATTGAATCCTAATAATTTTTTTCTTTCCCAAATTAAAATAATTTGAGGAGGAAAGATAACATAAAGATAATTATCTGATTTCACTCTCCTACTGATTAGCAGCAATTTATTTTCTTTATTTTGTATTCATTTTAGAGTATTATGGCTACCCAGGTTATCAATACAGGACACCAAGGAGCTATTACGATTATACTGGTGGGCTTACTGAAGAGGAACAGCTTGAAAGAGCAGTGCTAAACAGTCTTAATGAAAGAGGTAGGAATTTTTTGCATTTTATATTCTGAGTTATGATTCAGACTGAGAAGTAGCAGGGGTAGGATGTATTGCTCATTATTTGTTTTCAGTATTTTGGATGTATCTTCAAAAACAGATAAAAGTTTTCTAGTACATTTTTCAGAGAATGAAGTGTGAGGATGCAGTATCATTCTCTTAATGCAATTGCATTTATTCGTAATTGCTTACTGTTTGATTACCTTGCTACTACTATAGTAAAAGAAATGCTTTTATAACAAAAAACCCTTAAGTAGACTAAGTTGCTGTGCCAAAAAAATCTTAGAATACTCTACATAGTATGAAATGTTATAATAGAAGTGATGTTGCCAATATTTAAACTTTCTTTGTGTGTATATTTTTGCTTTTTATACAAATATAATTGACAAGCAATGTACTGATTTCTTACTCTCTACGCTATCCTTTTCTACCTTAAAGGAAGCTTAAATTGTATCTAGCTGAAAGACCTAAAAAAAAAAGGTATGTTTAGAAATAAAAATGGTGTTTGTTTTTAACTAAAATGTGTTAGTTAAATTTGGTATCAAATACATTTATTAGGACATATTTGCTCTTTTTAGAATGCAAGTGAAATTAAGAGGGAAAGAATACTTTGTAGAATCTATTTCTCAGTTTCTGAAAACTTCCAAGACTCGAGGGAAAATCTGTTTAATAGGACTGATGGCATATTATTAGAGCATCATGTGTAAAGTCTACATCACACAGGTATGCAAAATTTTTATACTGAAGTGATAAAATAAAAAATAGAAATGAACATAGTATATGTTTTCTGGTACTGAGATATGTTTGGTGTGAAAAACTTGCATGTCAATATGGATTCTTCTGGGAATTCAGCCAGAGCCTTCAGGTGCTTCTTAAGAAATCTGAAAGATTTCTTTTAAATTTGGTGAAGCTGTAATGTTTAATCCTAACAAAAATAATAACCTGACTGAATATCTCATCAATGTCATTTTCCTTTCATAATCTTGGTATTTGGTCTTCCTGGGTGCAGAGAAGCACTCATTAGGAAAAAGATACAGAAACCTCTACTTGTAACTGCAACTCGTAAAATGTGGAGCACCATTCATAAATCTCCACTCAGAAAATTAATTTACACTACTGTGTGTTATGACTGTCAGAGAAATACCAGGCAAACATGAAAATTAGTACCTTGTCAAATCATCATCACTTTTACTTTCACACCTTCTGTGATCCTGTTTTTTGTTACGAAGAACATGTCATGTTATCTGGAAGGTGATTTTAAAAACGCAGCAGATGTGGCAAGTTTGTGATAGGCAAAGGCTTTTCCAGTTTAAGAAATTCATTAACATATATTTTTAATGTAAATACAGCTTTTTGCTTTATTGTTTGCATCTGTTGTGAGTGTCACCTGGGAGGCAGAAGTGCAGAATTTTAGGGAAATTAGGGGGTTTTAAGTAACTTTTTTTTTTCTAGTTATCTTTGTTTTTGTGTTCACCTTTGTTCTTTAAGCGTAGTTCTATCTAACTGTCTCTTAACATTGTGAAGGTAGAAAGTTCAAAAAACCTCACACTTTCTGCCACAATATTATTATTGTAATGTGTGTGTTTTAGAAATTATTGCAGTCTGAGCAGTCCCATTTCAATCAACTGTACTGAAAACCTCAGACGATAGTGAGAATCTTAGCTTTCAAATAAATCCATAAAATAGCATTTAGTCCTTCTGGTTTTTCAGCAGAAGATAGTAAATTAGTTACTGTTCATGCTGTCTTAGGAATTTTAAAAAAATAACAGTGTCATATCAATATGTTGTCCTATGTAATTTTGGGAAGGAATGGGTCTAAAATGAGCTTTATTCTAAGGGATACTTTTTACTTTACTGTCATTTGTACATGACATTTTATGTAATTTTTAACAGTGAGTTTGAGAAAAAAAAATTCTTCAAAGCTTTTAATATTAAGCATTTTGAAATATCTGCAAGAATGAGCCATTCTTTTTTGTATTGTTGTATCATTTGTATTTTTAAACTCAAGAAAACAGAATACAAATAACAATGACAAAATTATTATAATATAAATAATTAGATAATATACACTTTAAAGGCTTTCATGTATCAGTGTGGAACACCTGCAACTTTCATTTGTAGCCTTAAATGATCTGTGTTACTATAGGTATTTTTTTTCTGCTTGTTGGTTTTGGACAAAGATCAGTTTTCAGCTCAGAGAGGCAATATATTCTTATTTGAAGAATGCTTTTTGACACATGAGATCGAATTTAAATAGCATTTCTAAGTACCTACATTTCTCTGATAAGTAACTGACATACCAAGTCACATTTTTAACTGAGCCAGCAGCATTTCTTAACACTATGGTAGTGCTTGTTTTTAGTGCTAGTTATAGTTTTTAAGCCTCACAGAAAAATGAAGCTGAAAAATATATCTTTGTATATTGTTTCCAATATATATTTTTGGTGTGATCAAATATATATGTAGATTCTGTTTTCAGTGGTTTCACAGGAGTGCTTCAATTTTGCACCTCTTTCTCCTACCTGCTGAAGCCCTTTAGTTTGTAGAAGCAAGACTTCAGAGCTGTACTCTTAAAATATTTCCTTAAACAAGCTGCTCAAAGGTTAAGCTTGCCTGTAGGCAGATGCTATATTTCACGAAGAAAATACTACAGAGCATGTAACTGATCACATCTCTTTTAGTGACACAAAGGATGAGGTGAAATTTAGTGTGCTAACAAGCAATTAAGATATCCTTCCCTTTCAGTTAGTTTCAAAAATAATTAGCTGGAATAAGCACTATCCTTTTAACATGATACATTTTTCTTTAAAGCATGACATTCACAGTTGCTTGCAATTACATGGATGATGAAACAGGTACTTAACATGACTAAAAATTACATAAAATAATTTGAAATAGGTAGATAAATGGAGGTAAGAAGAGGTATTGCAATCAAAATTTAGGGCTCTCTTTCCTTATTAATTTCTTTTTTCCCCTAACAATGACATTGAAACCATCACAGTTTCTCTGTAGCTTGGTCATAAAAGTATTGCGGTAATTTTGATGGTTTTTAGGGATTTTTTTTTTTTCCTTATTTGGACAAATGCATTTATTAGGGTTTTAGGCCGCAGACTGTACCATTACAGATTTGGGATGTTGATCGATTCTTCTAAATTACTGTGTTAGTATCCTGCTAAGCTACTAAAAGAATCGGTGACATAGTATAGTATTTCCTGGTATCAGTTGTTGTCTACTAAAATCTAATTTTTATTAAAACATACATCAAATTTAAATTCAGTAGTTACACTTCTGTAATCCCGTACATGGGTTATTTAGACCCACCACTGCATTTCAGTTTATTCCACATTCAGTCATTCCTGAACTGCAATTCTATTTTTAATCAATATCCTGAAAATTTATTTAATAATAATAATAACAACAATAATTAGTATCTAGTGCAACAAAATAAATTGCTAGTCTTGTTTGAGATGTATGTAGACGTCAGTTTTAAGACTATCAAATTGTCTTAATGATTTAGGTCCATTTACTAAAATGAAATATAATTTATATTCTTTACATTCCTAGTTTTAGATATGTTGTTGCCTCAAAACAAGAATGGGTTTAAACAGCATCAATTTTTTCTCCAAAGTTTTACCTTTAAAATTAATAAATTAATTATTAATTACAAATTGCAGTAATTCTTCCTTTAGTTAAATCAGTTAAAATAATTTAAATTAAAATAATTTAAAAAATCTTAGCCTTTGATATTTAACTATATGGTTTTGCTATGAAGTTAAAATAATGTAGCTGTTATTTTTTTGTTTAATACTAGTATTAGTAACTGTCCTTAGTGTAACCCCAGTATACCATATCTCTTTTGTTTACTTGCTATTCTGCTCAGAAGAAATATCTTGATTAGTGTGGGACGTGGATATGGATTTTTGTTGCGGTGGGTGTTGGGATTTTTTGTGAGTTGAACTTCTAAGTGTCTGTCTTTGAGTCTCAGTAATGTTAAGAATCCCTTGCAAGCTCATGTCTCTGCACAAAGGAATTTTCCTCTTTCTTAAGACTAAGGTTTTTAACCATGTAGGTGATTATAGTTTGTGAATTAAAGAGAAATACCTATAAATATACATACATGGATAGCCCTCATATTTTGTAATGGAACTGTCTATATATGCATTTTTAAGTTATAATTTAAAGCAAAACAAAAAGCAAAACCCCATACACTCAAAAGTTTTTAGATGGCCAAGTATGGACTAGTGATAGGTACAATTGTGGTATAGTTAGGAAATATCTAGACATCTGGCTTACTTGTTCTCTGAATTTTTAAGGATTCCCTTTTCTGTTTTCTTCTGAGACTGGACTTTTTAATAGTAGTTTATGAAATTTGCCAAATCCATAGAAGATTGTAATAAGATTGAAACCAATGTGATAAGTCAGTGTACTCTTTCCCTTCTGCAATTGTAGGAATGCCAATCATTACATTTGACTATGTGTGGTTTTCTGTAAAATGTCTTAAAATAGATTATATGCTCAAATGTGCAGTGCATATCATCAGATTAAAATACATCTCAGTCACATGCTAGGGCTTGAATCAGATCCTTGAAGTCCAACTTTTTTTTTTTTTTTTTTAATTCAGACTATATATGGTCTCAGGTACTAAGCAACACTTTTTGGAAAAAAGCTTTCCCTCTTGGGTTGAGCTCTTGTTCTAAATAGCTTTCTAAAACTGTGGCTGTGCTCTATGGTCCTGATCACTAGCACTTTCTTCAGGCAAATTTCCAGAAACTTAAATCAGTAAATTTTTATTATTTCCACAGTGTCCTGGTTTCAGCTGGAATAAAGTTAATTTTCTTGCTAGCAGCTGCTGTAGTGCTGTGTTTTGGATTTAGGATGAGAATAATGTTGATAACACTGATGTTTTAGTTGTTGCTAAGCAGTGTTTATATTAAGTCAAGGACTTTTCAGCTTCTCATAGTGCCCGGCCAGGGGAGGCTGGGGTG